GCCCGGGGCGCCTCCGGGTGCAGGCGCGGTGAGAAAGGCTCGGGACGCAGGTGTGTTCCCTCGGCGTCTCCTGAGCATCCGCGGCGCGCCGGGTGCTGGTAACAGGAGCCGCGAGCGCGGGGGTTCGCCCTTGCGAAAACACCGGTCAGGCGGAGTACCCCTGTACGTTCTTACCTGGAGGACCTGAGTTTGAACTTAACCCTTTTTTTTGGACAGGGTTACAGGGTTTCCCTCTGTCTTCCAGGCTGGCTTTGAGCTCCTACTATATATAACCCAGACTGGTCTCGAACTCACAACTCTCCTGCCTCAGCCTCCCATTGCTGGGATTACAGGAATGCACCACCGCACTTGGTTAACATCACGTTTTGTTCCTGTGTCCACACAGCGTAGTGTTTGAACTTTGTATCACGCCCCCTCCCCAGTTTACCTGCAGTTCCCCCTTTTTACAGTCGTGTAGCATCAAGAGCAAACACATCCCACTAATAACATTTCGCCCTCTTTGCGCACCGTTTTTTCCTCCCAGCGCCCCCCACCCCTTTCTGTAGACGTTCCTGCGGTAGTCAGCTCCAAAACCTAAAAACCTTTCCAGAGCCTGCAGTGAGCCAGATACCGGAGATGCAAATGTGAGACAGACAGGCACGTCCCTTCCTGCCCAGAGATGTAGTCGTGCGGTGGAACCCCGGGAGAGAGAGGCGATGACTGCCGTTAAGCAGCGCACCTGGGCGGGGAAGTGCTGTCACGGACCAGGAACGCAGAGCTATAGGGTGATCATCTGTGGGGGCTGCGGTCAGAGAAGGAGCTTGGGTCGCGAAGGGAGGTAGGAGGTAACGGAAAGAGACCTGTGCTAGCACCGTGCTGGGTATGGGCTACCCCTTCTTCGGCTTTCCTGACACTAGCTTCCTCGTATTCTTCCTACATCTTTGGCCACCTTGTTTCAATCTCCTCCCTGCATACACAACTTTAAAAAATTTTTTTGAACTTTTTTTTTGTGTTTTTGAGACAGGGTCTCACTATGCAGTTCAGGCTGGCCTTGAGCTCACTTTGTAGCCCAGGCTGGTCTCGAACTCACAAAGATCCTCTTGCCTCAGCCTCCTGAGTGCCGGGATTGCAGGCGTCCGCCACCACTCCCGGCAGAACTTTTTCTTTATTGGTACATTTCAGATACAATGTACACAGTGATAACCTTCATCACAGGGAGTTTGCACGTGTACATGATCTATCTTGCTTCTTTTTTCCCCATTCCCCGCCCCTCCCTTCAACCCTTCTTCCTCTTTTTATTTACAAAAGCTGTGTTTCCATTTTTCCTTCTATTTTTTTTCTTTTCCCTTCTTTCCTTCCCACCTCCCACCTCCCTTGTTCCCCTCTCAGTTGAAAATTGTCTTCCCCGCATTTATTATACATTTTGGTCCCTTACCTACATTTTCTGTTTCTCATACCAGAGAAACCATGCGATATTTGAACATGTGTGTCTGATTTGTTTCACTTAAGAGTATGGTCTCTAGCTGCATCCATTTAGCTAGACATGTCTCAGATATCTCCTTCTTTATGGCAAAGTAGTGCTGCATTGTATAAAAAAACCCCACATTATCCATTCATCAGTTCATGGGCATTTGGGCTGTTCTCAA